TTAACAGTAAAATGAAATAATGTTTGAAGATGATTAAAGAACCTGCGTTTTTTTACATTAGAAGAATGAGTTACGGAGAAATGATGGAGAGATATCAGTCAAATCAAAAACAAAAATTTACGTCCCAATCAGCACCGATATTCACGATGTGAAGGGGAATCAAATCGTGGAACGAAGGTAGGGGGCTCTGGGAAGTCGAGGAGAAGGAATTTTCTACAAACATATTTACTATACTCTGATTACGCCTCTCTTTTGGCCCTGTTGGGCACTCAATCGCTGCGAGCGACAAGAAATTAAATGATGTCCACTAATTAACAGTCGTTGCGTCACCGCTGGCATCATTACTATGAAGGAGAAGCTCAATGTTGACTTCATAGTCTCCATCTTTGTGGTGGTTGCTATTGCCTCCAATTTCGTCTCCGAAAGACCTATGACCAATCAGAGAACCCGGTTTCGTCTTACTCACCGCTAAGACCCGTATCTGCACTTGTAGACGAAAAGACTTTCTAGTTGAGAGAGACCTATGACGCAATCTGGAATCCTCTCTATACTACTATTGCTTAGGTCAAGATGCCTTACGCTTTCCGGGACATGTGTTATTCTCTTGACGTTTCTGCCGCCTAAACGAAGCCATTCAAGACGAGGCAAACGTTCAACAATTGATGGATGAACTTCTTCCATTTTGTGTTTCCAACATCGAGATACTTGATGTTCATAGAAACACGCGGAGAACTTCTAAATCGTGAGAAACTACTCTTGTCAACTTCCTCGAAAAAGTTAATCTTGATTGGAACAGCTCGTAGCTTTTTACAGTCACTCAACCTCAATTTTTTCAGTTTGTGTAGATTCCAAATAGAGGAAGGAAGCTCAACCAAACTTGTGCAAGAAGTAAGTGTCAATGCCTCGAGATTAATAGCCTTCGAAAGATTTGGGATTTCTTTCAACATTTTAGAGTATCCCAAATTTATCTTCCTGAGATTTGGAAGAGGCTGCATGTTGAATACAACAAATGAGAAATATCGCATCTAGGTTGAATCATCAGAAACAGATTTAAGAATATCAGATACCAACCTGGATTCCTCCCCATAGCTTCTCGAGATTGCTGAATTGCATACGGATCTCGATGAGACATTCCGGTCTAAATGTTAGAGGAAGATGTTTTCTCGGGTATGAATCCCAATGAAGTAACCTTAGACGAGGTAGATACTTCATGTCCCCTGATATTCCCAATGTAACATCTTTACTAAAATATCTCCCATAGATTCTTAAGAATCGAAGATTACGCATTCCTTCAAAGGCTCGCCCACTTATAGAGAACTCATTGATCTTGGACATATCAAATGATATACCTACGACAGATCCAGTACCCTAACAAATATTCCAAAAAATGAACTGACAAAACTGTTATCCCAAAACCAAAGATTTGTTGAGCAAGTTTTCTAGAGAATATTGTACATATGAAATAACTTACTGTTTCATTTGCTAGCACGTCACGAATCTCTTCGGCCTCTACTAGAAACTGACGTTTTCCGGGATCATCAGACTGTTCACAAACGATTTGTCTACCCAATTGTTGGAGTAAACGATGCATCTGTATCCACCCAATGGTAGATATACGTACAAGAGATTTATCGGCTAGGGTCGTCAACCCATTTTCGACATCCAAGTTAGTGTCAGCTAGCATGGTTGTCACATAATTGACGGCTTCATTGTTGAAGAAGAAAGCAATGTGGAGAAATAGAGACTTTTCATTCTTCAATAGTTTGTCATATCCCATTCTTAATACATCCTCAATTTTTCTATCAAGACGAGTTTCTAGATTAGATACTTGACGTTCCCACTTATGTCTGCTTTCTCCACGCAAAGATGAACCCATAACACGAAGGCCTAACGGAAGATTACCACAAATATTTGCTACTTTCTTTACGAGCTCTTCAAAACCAACTCGTGGAGAACTTTTCTGAAAAGCGGATAGACATAAGATCTCACGAGCTTCTTCTTCGGATGGATAACCCACATGGTAGATTCCGCTTACCCAATGTGCCTTCAATATCTTTCTATCTTCTGTGGTAACAACAATACGACTTCCTAAACCAAACCAAGATGGTTCTTTAGCCAAGACATCTAGTTGTTCAAGATCATCTACATCGTCAAGAACTATAAGGACTTTTTGGTATTGTAGCCATTCCTTTATTGCGCCTAAATGATATATCTTCACATCCTTTTGGTTCAAAATCTTGGACAAAAGTTGAGTTTGTAAAGACAACTTCGAGCCGAAGTCATTAATACCATCACTCCCATAAATTCCCTTGAGGTTCTCTATAAAACATTTAAGTTGAAATTCGGCAGAGAGCCGGTTGAACAAAGTTCTAGCAATTGTCGTCTTACCAATCCCCGCAGGACCCTGAATTCCAATCATCTTCACTTCATTGCACTCTAAGCGTAAACGAGAGATTGCCTTTCTCAAGTGAGCTTCCATTCCCACCATCCCATCAAAATCCTTTGATGGTGTAAGATTCAGTTTGTCGGAAACATCAACAGCAATTTTTTCAATCATCTTAGCTTCATCGTCCCTAACAAAAGAAAATATTCTTAATTTAAAGAGACGTCACCATTGAAGCATTCCTTAAGAAAGATAAAAGCAACTTATTCAGTATGAGATTAAAAAAGAAGAAAACTACATACCAACTTAGAGAATGGTCTCCCACTATGTTTGCGACATCAGACAAAGCTTTCCTCCATCTCAGCTTCATCTCCTCAGTTTTCCGTTCACAAGTTTTCACCAAAGCCTTTCCGAAAATACCACTCTGTTGTCGTACATCCGACGGATCAACCTCGTAAAAAATACGCATCACCATCTGCCCCCAATCTTCTTTGCATTCCAAGATTTCCACCAACTCATCTAAACACCAGCTCGAAGAAGCATAATACTTTGAGAGCACCACAATCGAGATCCTCGATTCTCTTATTGCTTGTTTGAGTTCTGGTCCAATCGTCTGGCCTTTTTTGATCTCATGATCTTTAAACACCGTGATTCCCTTGCTTGCAAAGTGATTATGTAAATGACTGAGAAAGGTTCTTCGGACGTCCGGGCCGTGGAAGCTCGGGAAGACATGATATCTCCTAACACGAGTC